CTCTCTCTCTCTCTCTCTCTCTCTCTCTCTCTCTCTCTCTCTCTCTCTCTCTCTCTCTCTCTCTCTCTCTCTCTCTGCACATGAAGATCTTGACTCTGTATACATCAGCCTGCTACTCATCTCTACTCCTACTATGCTGTGCGGCTATGGCTACCTTCCTTCCACAGTGCGGCGCTGCCCAGCAAGGGCTCTAGGGCTAACCAACTTGCCAATAGCGCACAAGTGCTCAGCAGTACTTCCACACTTCTCGCGGATAAGCAATCTGGTCAAAATGTGGCTGGCCAGTCTCTATATTGCCTTGGACTAGGCCTTGACTCGTCCCGGCCTCTGCTTCTCTTGGCTTGACTTGAACCCGGTACTGGCTGCCCGTGGCCTGTTTGCTTCCGGAATGTTGAGGCCCGGTACCTCCCTGAGTTTTCTTTGGTGTGCTGCTGCTTTTTGGTCTGCGGGACGCGACCTTTGACTGTGGGACGTGACTCTTGGCTGTGGGATGTGGCTCTTGACTGTGGGACGTGATTTTTGACTGGGTACCGGCTGGACTTGACCCCTGGGGGTACCCGACTTAACCTTTCTAAATCTGGCCGACCAGGCCTCTTTTGACTTGGGTCTTTTGACCCTGAGACCCGAATTCGGGGTCTGCAGTTTGAAATGCCTTTCACTCTCGCCGGCCTGATTTGAAGGTCTATCGCGGAAGTACAAACTTTATCTGTCAACTATGTTGATTCCTCTTCTAGCTCTCTCATAGTAAGACACTATGTGCGGTGCTGTTTCTATTAGCTCATTTCTAATAAACCGACGATCTTTCGAAGGTTCCTGATAAGCAAATCTGACTTTGTATTGTCGCTGGGGCCTACCCCTGCGTCCAGATCTATGAACATCCTCTGCAACGATGCGGTCTACGTCATACTTGCCATCCATATCAGGAGGAATCATAGATCTTCGAGACTGAAATAGATCATTGCTGACAGAAGGGAGCAACTTAGAGGCATGAAACATCGGGTAAGTGTGCAAATGTGGAGGAATCTCAACGACATAGGAAGGACCATCCACATCACCAATCATGTCAAGGATCTGGCACGGTCCCCTATATGCAGGCAATAGCTCATGCGAGATGTTCTCCTCTGGGAGGAACTCCTTGGACTTCACCCAGACCAAATCCCCTACAGCAAATTGTGAAGGTTTGCGGTGCTTATTTGCCTGTTCAAGCATCTGATGCTGTGCCTTTCTTATATTTTCCCTTACTTTCTCCAAGTCCTTCTCGTACTGCACAGCGAATTCTCTAGTCCTTGGAGGAAGCCTTCGCACCTGATCAGGGTTCATACAGTCAACGGGCCTGCATGGGCGCCAACGCAAATGCAGTTCAGTGGGCGTCCCCGCTGTAGCTAAATGCAAAGAGTTGTTGTAGGCACCAACTACCTTATGAAGATGCTCATCCCAGTTGATCTGATGTGGTCGTATATACATGCGCAGGACTCGCTGCAACACCGTCTTCATCTGTTCGGTTTGCTTAGCGCATCATCAACAACATTGTATTTCCCCTTTACTGGCTTAAGTTCAAAGTCAAACTGGTCTCTCTCTCCAGCCCCCCTTGTCAACTTAGGTGTCATCCGGACTTGGGTACGTGGAAGTGGCGACCTTCTCACTAGGCAGTCTGCATGACAAACTCGGCGGGCCTGTACCCATTACCGTCATTCTGCTGAAGTACAACACCAATCCCGTATTGGCTGGCCTCAGCGGTAACTATAAATGGCAAAGATGGATCTTGAGAACCGGGTACTCCATCAAACACTTCTTTAGACGCTTGAAGGTTTGAAGTGCAGTCGTTATCCCATTTCCAGATAGTTTCCTTCTTCAACAACCTGCGCAACGGAGCATCTATTACAGTAAAGTTCCGTACGAACTTGCGGTAATAGTTGGCCAGACCAAGGAATGACTGTAGTTCCGTTAACGTATGTGGTGTCGGTCAGTCTCTGATTACTGCTATCTTAGCGTCCTCCGGTTTGATTCCATCTCCATCTAGCATATGACCAAAGTACAATATCTGGCGCTTGGCCCATTCACACTTTTTTGGGTTCAACTTAAACTCAGCGTCGCGCAGCTTGCTTAGCACTAAACGAAGGTGCTGTTCGTGCTCTTCTAGTGACTTACTGAAAATCAAAATGGCATCTCAGTATAGAACGGCAAATTTATCTAACCAATCATGGAAGAGTTCATTCATGCAACGCTGGAAGGCAGCAGGGGCGTTAGTCAACCCAAACGGCATGACCACAAACTCGTAGTGGCCATATCGAGCCCTAAAGGTCGTCTTGTGCTGATCC